GTCATACACAGGATGGAAGCCAGGCCCTTCCTGTAGGTCCTGAACACATCCTCCCCTCCCTCAACCAAATGCACACACTTCAGGGAGTCCCCAGCCATCAGAGTAAACCATTTCCCATTTGGTTGGGTGGCAGATATTTATTAAGTTGCTGAGGGGGCTGGGAAGGAGGCATCCCTCACCCCCACCCTATTCACCAGCTGCAACCAGGAGACGGCTCAAAGGCCTCCTGGAAGCTGGGCCAGCCCTTCTGCTCTCCTGGAAACCGGTGCTGGGGTTGGAGCCTCTGGGGCCCAGGCCCCTCCCGACGGCTTGGCCCTCATGCTTCCCCCAGGACTAGCCCCCATCGCTCTTCTAAACCCAGCCCCTTCCTCTGGCCTTCATCACTGTGTTCCAAAGACTGGGGCGGGGGGGGGTGGGGGTGAAGGGCCGAGGGAGGGCGAGCCAAGAAGCAGCTTCTCTGAGGTGGGATCAGGGGGTATCTGAGACTGTCTCCTCTCTCCTTTGAGGTCCCTTGTGTGCAGGAGACTGTCTGTGGCAGTGGGTGAAAAGAGAGCCCAAAGAGAGCCAGGAGTCAGCTCCTGTAAGCCCTGCCATTCTCCTGACCCGAGTGACCCATAGCTGTGGGGTTCACCATGGACGGCCCCTTCTCTGCCCTCTCTGTGCCCCACCAAGGCCCTCCTTTCCTGGCCTAGGAGCCGACTCGGGGGCTGAGAATTCTGCTGGTCTCAGTTCAGGTGGTTCTGAGGCCCAGCTCAAGTGTCTGCTGCTCAGCACTGTCTCATCCTCCCTCCTGCCCCACACTCCCCCTCAGCTAGTTTACTGCCCCTTCTGTGAGAACTCGGACAGCCTCCATTCAGCGCCTCATACTTGGCCTGTATTCTCTGTTCACATCTCTTCCCACCTCCCTCTGGGCCTAAGGGCTCCTGGAGGGCAGAGGCTGGGCTCATCCGCTGGGAGCCCCTGGCTCCAGCACAGGGCCTGGGACAGCAGGCAGTCCAGTCGAATGATGAATGCAGGACGGAGGCTGGGCCTGTTGCTGGGGCCCCATCAGGAGCCTGAGCCCTGAGAGAGGGGGCCTGATTCAGCCCCGAGGTCACAGCTGGCAGCCTGCCTGTCCCTTGAGCGCTGCTGGTCTGGACAGGGATCGTGGGGAGCTGTCCCCGTTGGAGTCTCGGTGAGGAGGTAGGAGGTCACCCTGCCTATTCTTTCTGCCCCTCCTAATGTTCTCTTTTCTGTCCTTCCTCCTCTATCCTCCTTTCCCCTCTCAGGGGAGTATGCCGAGGGCGTCAGTGAGCGAGACATCCTGCTCATTCACTCCTGCCGCCAGTGGACAACGGTGACAGCCCACACCCTGGAGGAGGGTCACTATGTCATCGGGCCCAAGATTGACATCCCCCTGCAGTACCCAGGTGTGCCCAGCCAGGGACAGATGGCACAGAGCCGGTGGGAGGTGTAGGCAGGGGGGTAGGGGTGGGGAGGTCTTGGAGGAAACTGTTGGTGACTGGCTTTTCCTTAGAGCCACAGGGGTGAGCGAGGTCATGGCTGGCAGGGTGGTGATTAGGGTTAGGGTTAGAGTTAATTAGGGCCCAGTGGTTTTCATACTGTTTTGTGGAGCTCTGGGTTTCTGGTTGCAAACCTTTGATTCCCATTTTGTTTTAAAATAGATTTGAAACTAATGTTAAAAAAAAAGTACCCACACCCTCAAACTGCTACAAATCAAACCTTAACCCTGACTAGAGACCTTCAGTATGTACCATTACATACAGGTGGTACCTCTGCCTCATTAACACTTTTTACACAGACCCTCAAAGAGAATATCTCCTGCTAGGATCCTCTCAGTACTGTGCAACCAAAAGACTTCAAAAACAAAGGGATGCTCAGGCTGATTATGTGGCTGCATCTGCCTGCTCTAATCCTGTTTTTCCCAATTTTTGTGTTAAACTTATTGTTTTCACTGACTGACTTAAGTGAATGTTAAAATTTTAGGCTTTTAAATAAGATTCTGCAGTGAATTTCTACTTTTATCTGTTATATATATGATGCTGATGTCCTAAAGATTTTGCTTGAAGAAAGGATTCTGCTGCTGAAAAAAGAAAGTACAGCCCTTTCGTTTTACACACAATGAAACAGAGGGCCTAAGAAGGGAAGTGACTTGCCCAGGGTCACACAGCTAGTAAGCAGCAGAGCAAGGGCTAGCACCCAGGTATCTTGACTCCTGGGCTCTTGCTTGCTGCCACATCAGGAATGCAGGGTTGTTGTCCCTTGTGTGGGAGGGATGTGAGTCTGGTGGCCCCATCCCAGAGATGCCCCCACGTGAGCCCAGGATCCCACAGCTCCTGCACATTAAACACGTGCTGCGTTTCAGACACTGGGCAGAGCGTTGTTGTCATTGCATCCTCACAGCAACCCTGTGAGGAAGTTTTATCAAGCTCCAGGAGTTAGTAGTTAGCCCAGTTCTGTGTTTATCTGCTGCCCACCCCGCAACAAAGGTTGGAATACTTTGAGCTGGGAAGGCTCACAGTCCCTTCCTCACTCGTATGCTGTTCCCCTTCTGGCGCTGCCTGGGTCTCCCCGGAGTCAGTAGGACAGGACTAAACCCTTTACAGGGCTTCTGCTCTTTACAGCGCCCTGTGCACCTTGTACTCCTGTAGCCCTACAACCCATTTTAAACACGAGGAAACTGTCTCAAGTGTCTTTCTGACCTGGCCTGGAGCCCTTGGGGAGGCCTGCCCAAGCTAGAAACTTCCCAGCCTGGGTATCTGGCCTTGGTCCAGGGAGAGGTCCCAGGTCTTCTTATTGGGATTAAAAAAAAGCAAAGATTGGGGGACTTCCCTGGCGGTCCAGTGGTGAAGACTCGGTGCTTGCACTGCTGGGGGCACAGGTTCGATGCAAAAAAAAAAAAAAGCAAAGATTGGAAAAAGCCTTCACTGACAGAAATATGACTTATTGCGCCATTGCAGTTGTGTCATTAAAAATCCGGGAAACCAAGGTACAGAGCCTCCTGGGGAACTCTGCGTTCACGGGGCTCCTGGCCCTTTCCCCCCATCTCTTTCGGTGCCCTTGTGTAAGGCGGGTGACAGCTGGCCTGCCGAGGTGTCGCATCCCCAGCTCCACCTTCCCGGTTGGCCGCTCGGGCCCCGCCTGGATGGGGGCTGGGTGGCCGAGGCCCCCCCCTAGGAGGGGGAGGGGCTGGGCCGCCGGCGGGTTAATGAGGAAGCTCTGAGTGCACAGCTCCGAGCTGGTTCCTCCTAATGAATTAATAATTGCGCGGGCAGGCGGGCGGAGCGGACTGCTGAGAGAGCCGCGGGAGGCGGTGGAGGGAGAGGGGAGGAGGGCTCAGGGCGGTGCCCTGCAGCGAGTGGCGTGGGGGCCGCTGCTGAAGAGCCGGGTCTCCAGGCCAAGGCCCACCGCCCGGGGAGGCGGGGAGACCGGACTCCTCCGGGACGACCCCCCCACCCCCACCCCGCCAGCTCCCCGCCTTGCCCTCTGCGCGGTGCCTCTCCCCGCGCGGCCCGCAGACCCTGCGGAGCACCGGGCAGATGCGTCCCTTGAGCCAAGTAGTGTGCTTCCACTTTACAGATGGGAAAACAGAAGCCCATGGGGATTAAATAATTTGCTCAAGGCCACACAGGTGGTAGTTGGCAGAGCTGGGATTCAGCCAGGTCTGTCCGACTCCCAAGTCTGTGCATTTACCCACCATTCTTTATGGAGCGTCTGTTATGGGTCAGGTGCTGGCAGGGAGGGGTGACAAACAAGACCCTGCTTCAGGCTGGAAGGGACGGTCGGGGCTGCGTAAACGTGCTCTGGGAGTCACGGACAGGGAGGAGGGGCAGGCCAGGGTGGCGCAGGTCCCTAGAGCCGCAGGGGACCTCGGGTCTTTTGTAGGGGGAGGCAGGAGAGGAAGCTGCCCCCAGTGGGGCTGCAGAGGGAGGAAAAGGCTTCCAGGGGCCAGAGCATCACTCCCGGGAGGTCTACCTTCCTTCCTCGCGGCAGCGATGACCGGTGCCGGGCTCGGGCTGCGGCGGAGGGGGTGGTGCCGGCTACCATGGTTACATCGATCTTCCTTGCCACATCCTCCCCCACCCCCCACCTCCCCGGCTCTAGCCCTGAGTTGGCTCCAGCTCTCCCCACAGGGGGCAGTGGGCACTTCTCCCTGCCTGGCTGCTTGGGGTTGGGGGGTTTGTGTGTGGATATTGGGGAGGCGACTGGGTGAGGGATGGGGGCTACTTTTCTTGGATGGTAGCAGACCTGTGACTCCTGCTTTCTGACCTGCAGATCACTGTTCCTTGCTAGGTCCCCTCCCCAGCTTATCCCTGCTGCCCTCTAGGGCTGTGGCTCATCCGAGGCCTCTTCCTACCAGGGTCTCAGAGTGGTTGGGGAAGGATGGGGGATGGGACGTGGGGTATGTTCCCTCCAGCTTTCTCCTGGGCATTTCCCCCTCTCTTTCTGGGTTATCACTTTTCCTGCTCATAGATATTGATGCTGCAGGCTCTGCCCCTGGCCCTCTGCTCTTCATACTCTGCATTAGGGAGTGGGTGTCTCAATCCGGGTTTCTGGTTGGGCTTTGGGGGCTTCAAGAACCGCCCCCCTGTACTGTATACAAAATGCTTTTTTGTGTGTTCCTGCTAGGGTTACACTGTGGGATTTCTCTGGGAAGAGGGTCCCCAAAGGGTCAAGATCCTCTGTTCTTCCTCTTTCCTGAGCTATTTTGCCTGCCCCACAGCTGACGCTTCCTGTGGGCTGGTGACCTTCTGTCACTTCTGACTAGGCATCCTCAAGTGCTGCACCCACACGCTCGCCTGCCCTAGGAACACTCCCTGCAGGGCCTCACTTGGCCTCCCCAGTTTGGCCGGTGCAGTTTTGGTTAACAGCTCTGCCGTCTCCATTTCTGACCAGGCTGGTGACCCAAGTCCCTTCCTCCACCACCTACTCACCAGTCTGATGAGTTCCTCACCACAGTCTGATGAGGCTCCCTACCTTGAAAGCACCTCTTGGTCTGCTCGTTTTTGTTATTCCCTCAGTTGCTGCCCTGGCTCTTTTCCAGAACTCGTTACTGAGTTATTTACCTGAATGGTGTCCCCGTTATCTTTATAGAGTTTAACTTTGACCTTGGTCTTCCCTTGCTCAGAACACTCCAGGGGGTTTCATTCTTACAGAATAAAGTCCTACCATATGGCATTCAGAGCCTTTCATAACCCAGTTGCTGTCTGCTTCACCCCTGTCATCACCCCCCTCAAGTCCTACCCTCCAGGCACTCACCACTTTGGGCAGGCAGTCTGCTTCCATGACTGTACGTCTTTGCTCATGCTATTTCTTCCATGTGGAATGTCCATTCTGTAAAACTCTTTTCATTCTTATGATGCCCTCAGACTGCCAGGCAGATTTCCCCCAACTCAGCACTCTTTTGTCATGAGTCTGGTGTAGCATTTGTCACATCCTGCCATCACACACTATATCTGGATTTCCTTGTGGGCATACTATCTTACCCAGATGTGTACCCCCTGCCGGGGCAAGGCTAGTGTCTGGCACATAGTGGGTGCTCCGCAAATGTTTGTGGAATGAATAAATGAATGGACTATGACTGCAGCAACCACCAGAGACACTACAGAAGCCAGAGTCACCTGTCTTCTCTCAGTTTGTACAAGACTCTCTTCCTTTTGTGTAAGGGCTAAGAAGAGGCCATCTGTCCAGATGCCAGCATGGTTCACAGCCTGTCTTTGTGCTCACATAGGTGGGCACATAAAAGATGTGTGGCCAGTGAGGTTTGACAGTTTACACAGAGGGGTGTCAGCTTTACGGATTATCATCATTCTTTAAAGTCTGTGTCTGCTGGGGGCATCTGCTGAGCCAGCCAAAACACAGCCCTGGACTGCAGGTTGGGAAGACCTCATCCGAGGGAGGAGGCTTTGCTGGGCTCAGATCAGAGGCCTCTGGGACAGTGGGGCTGGATGTTGGATCAGAGGAGGATTTGGGAACAGATTAGGAATCAGAGTTGCTCTCCCTGGATCTCCAAAGACTGGGGCTGGGCCCCTGGTCTGCCCATTGCATCAGTGTGGGTTAGCAATCCAATGCAGATACATAGAATGCCAGATCCAGGTGGGGCCCAAGAGCATCTGCTCCAGCTTCCTCAGCTGAGGACTCAAAGCTCCAGAGAAGGGAAGGGATTTGTCTAGGGTCATAGCAAATCAGAGTGGGGCTGGGACCAAGCTAGGAGTCAGCACCCGCAATGCCACACTAACGCTTGGTCCGAGGATAGCTCTCTGTCCAAGTGTTTGGGTGCCAGTTTACACTTGGGTTTCTCTGGGCAGGCAGCTGCTAGCCTTATCACACACCCACAAGCTGTCCACTGGGTGAGGGCTGGGCTCTAGTTGCTAGGAATCTGTGCTTACCTCCCTGCTGAGGCTTGAATCAGCTGACCAGCTCCTTCCACTAGTGCAAACCTGCCCTCTGACCACCTGAGTTCCAGAGAGGCTGGCTGAGATGAGGGGAACAAGAAGCGGGGGAAATGGGGCCTCTCCGGATACAGGCTAGGCTCCCAGCAAGCAGGCCTACCCTAGCAGCAGCCTGCATTCCTTCCTGTGCAGGGAAGTTCAAGCTCCTGGAGCAGGCCCGGGATGTCCAGGAGCCAGTGAGGTACTTCAGCAGCGTGGAGGAGGTGGCCAGCGTCTTCCCTGATCGCATCTTTGTGATGGAAGCCATCACCTTCAGTGTCAAGGTTAGTCCTTTCTGCACCAGGCATGGTGCCCCCAGGTTTCCATTATCCTCGGGGGCAAGCCTGACCCTGGTTGGAGGGAGGCCTCTGAGCTCTAAGAGCTAGAAGTGTCACAGTGTGGCTTCTGACAGCCCCTTGAAAGCCTCTGGCTAGGTGTACGAACTTCCTGGAGCTTCCTGCAAAAGGTAGGGAAGCAGGAAGTGTGTGTGGAGGGTCACGGCCTGACTGGGAAGTCTTTCAGGGCAGCCATCCTCTCAGCCAGTGGTGGTGGTAGTATAGCTGTGGGGCACATAGTGCACGCGGTCCCCCAGTTATGCACAGGCGGTTCTTGCCTGTTTATAAACCCTCTGCTTATCCATCAATTCACTTCTCTTCAGAGTAGTCTTGTTGAATAGGTGGAGTATTGTTATCGCCCTAATTGTAAAAAATGATAACAAAAGTTGCTGTATACTGAGTATTTTCAAAGTATTTCATTGTACATATAGTCTATTTAATTCTTACAGCAATTCTTCCAAGTAAGAGTAACTAAGGTCCCGGAGAGGTAACTCACTGAAGGCTGCACAGCCACCACGTGGCCCCTCCAGGATGGAATGTCCTCAGTCAACTGCTCTTGATCTGGTCTTAGCCCTGGGAAAGGCCCAAGAGGAGCGCTGTCCTCCTGGGTCCTGTCCCGGTGGCTCTCCCGGGGCCCTGGCTAAGGCCTCCTGCCGTTTCTGGGATCCCCAGGTGGTGTCAGGCGAGTTCAGCGAGGACAGCGAGGTGTACAACTTCACCCTGCATGCCGGCGACGAGCTCACTCTCATGGGCCAGGCGGAGATCCTGTGCGCCAAGACCACCAAGGAGCGCTCACGCTTCACCACCCTGCTGCGCAAGCTGGGCCGGGCCGGGGCGCTGGCCGGGGTGGGCAGCGGCCCAGGGGGCACGGGGGCCGCGGGTGGCAGCGGGGGCGCCAGGCCCATCAAAGGCAAGATGCCCTGCCTCATCTGCATGAACCACCGCACCAATGAGAGCCTGAGCCTGCCCTTCCAGTGCCAGGGCCGCTTCAGCACGCGCAGCCCACTGGAGCTGCAGATGCAGGAGGGCGAACACACGGTGCGCGCCATCATCGAGCGCGTGCGGCTCCCGGTGAACGTGCTGGTACCCAGCCGGCCGCCGCGCAACCCCTACGACTTGCACCCGGTGCGGGAGGGCCACTGCTACAAGCTGGTCAGCATCATCTCCAAGACGGTGGTGCTGGGGCTGGCGCTGCGCCGCGAGGGCCCGGCGCCGCTGCACTTCCTGCTGCTCACCGACACGCCGCGCTTCGCGCTACCGCAGGGCCTGCTGGCCGGGGACCCGCGTGTCGAGCGCCTGGTGCGCGACAGCGCCTCCTACTGCCAAGAGCGCTTCGACCCCGACGAGTACTCGACCGCCGTGCGCGAAGCGCCCGCCGAGCTGGCCGAAGACTGCGCCAGCCCGCGCCGCGCGCGCCTCTGCCTGCCCCCACCCCCGCGCGCCCTCCGGCCCGCCCGCGCCCCCGCCTCCGGCCCCGGCCCGCCCGGCGACGGCGACCAGGAGTACGTGAGTCCCGACTGGGCCGGCGCGCCCGAGCCCGCAGCGCCAGCCGCCGAGATCCCCTACGAGGAGCTGTGGACGCACCAGGCGGCTGAAGGCCTCGCCGAGGGCAGGACCCGGCCGCTCCCGGGGCCCGACCTCATCTCCTTCGGGGCCCCCGGGCCGCCCCGCCTGGAGCCCGAGGCGGCCCCGCCTCCAGTGCCTCCCAAATCCGAGGCGGTGAGTGGACTCGGTGGAGGCGAGGAGGGGGGGAAGCCGGGCTCTGAGCTCTGTGGGCCCCATCCTCCAGGGAGGTGGCCAGCCAGGGGTCAGGGTTTGGGCTTGAAAAGCTCGTTCTCCTGGGCCCCAGCCTTGGCATCTCCGTCTCCAGCCCCTGGAGTGTATGACAGAGGGTGGCCGAGGTGGGGAAGGGAGAAAACAAGGAGGAAAGAAACGCAGGAGCATTTGTAGGAAGGGATACCAGGGACGGTGGCATTGGGAGTTGTGGGGACAAAGATGCCAGCAGGTCCCCAGACTCAGAGAATTGGGGATGAGCCTAGAACAGTGTTACGCAGAAGGTTCCACAGAACAAGGAGTCCTTTAAGTTGTCCAGTGTAAAGAAGGTTCTATGGTGACATAAGTTTAGAAAATGTAGTCTGTGATGCCCAGCCTTCCCCCTCCTCACTTTGGAGCCACAGAGTATTGGTATAATAAAGGCTCTGAGAAGTCCTGCACGAAGGAAGCCCGTTTATCTGTGTTTAACACAGAATTTTCCAACCGAGCTTGTCCACAGACTATGGACAACACCTATGAACATCCCATGGAGTCCACTTTTGAGTGTCTGACCTATAAGGCAGGGAGCCAGATGGCAGATACTTTTCCTTCCCTTTCTTCTCCTCATTACACGTTTTTCTTATTTCTCTCCTTTTCCTTGGGGAGGGAATATGTCTACTTAACTGATTGTTTATCTACTTCTCTATTTTTTCTTACATTCAAGATGGATTTCCAAGGCTGCAGGAGACAGTATATGTGTTGTCGGCTCTCGATGAGCAAAACGGGCTGGAGAGACGAGAAGGGGTGGGTGGGTGGGTGAGGAGCTGGGGTGTAAGGCAAGGCAGGCTCTTGGCAAAGTGGGGCAGTGTCAGTCCCAGACGCCGCCCTGGCCCAGCTGCCTGGGGACCAGGGGTGGCGTCATGGCCCTGTGCTTGCAGGTGAAGGAGGAGTGCCGCCTGCTCAATGCCCCTCCTGTGCCCCCCCGAGGTGGCAGTGCCAATGGCCGGCTCTCGGGCAGTCCCCCGGTGCCCCCACGCTTCCCCAAGCTGCAGCCTGTCCACTCCCCCAGCTCCAGCCTCTCCTACTACTCCTCAGGCCTCCAGGATGGGTGAGCCCCTTCCTTCTCTTGGTCCTGGGCCTCCTCAGGTGGACTGAAGCGGGGGAGGGTGGGGAGGGGAGCCAGTGCTGAGGAAGAGGAAGACTTCAGGCCCGGGGTTCAGAGGTTCTGAGCAGCACCTGAGGGAGGGGCCCTGAGGTCCGGGGGCCCGGGCTTCCTGCTTCAGTTCACTCCTCTCCTAAATGATGACAGTCGGTTGGGAGTGTTGCTCTGTTTCCCTCCAGAGTGGGCTGTGCCACAGGGTGGAGTGCTCCTTGCTATTGAAAATTTTCTATGTAATTCAGTTTAGTTTAATTTTTCCTGGGGAGGGGGGTGCCGGGAGAAAGAATAGGGCAATCTTAGAGGGCCGCAGGCCTCGGGGGCTGGGGCACAGGCCAGCGCTGCTGAGATCGGAGCAGTGGCCTCTGGGACCTGGTGGAGCAGTGGTTTGCTGTGTCGTGTGTGTGACCCTGTCGCGTTTCCCTCTTGCTGTGCTTACCCTTCCATCTGTGTCTGTCTCTTTGCCCACAGGGCGGGCTCCCGCAGTGGCAGTGGCTCTCCGTCACCGGATACCTACTCCCTCTATTGCTACCCATGCACCTGGGGAGACTGCAAGGTGGGCGAGTCCCCCAGCCGCCCACGCCCGGGACCCCTGCCCTCGACTATGCAGCCCAGCCAGGCCTCCCGGGCCCTTGTAGAGCCCCTGAGCAGTGGAGCTGCCTCTCTCTGGGGGGCCGACACCCCAGTCAAGACCTACCACAGCTGCCCGCCTCCATTCAAGCTCTCCCACCCCCAGAAACGCTTTGCTCCCCTTGGAGCTCTGAACCCCTTTTCCGGGCCTGCCTACCCTCCAGGCCCTTCAGCCGCCTCCTCTTCTGGGCCCACAGCCAGCTCAGGTCCCCTGGCTACCTCCAGCCCCGCTCATTCCCCGGGCCCAGGCCCTCCAGGCCAGGCCTGTTCAGCTGCTGCCTCCTCCTGCTGTCCCACCTCCTCCTCTTCCTCTGAGCGGCAGACACCCGCCCTGGAGCCCTCTGATCCCTTTGAGCTGGGCCGGGGCAGTTCTCCAGAGCCGGAGCTGCTGTGCTGTCAGGAGCCCAGAGCTGTGAGGGCTCCTGGGCCTGGGCCTGGGCCTGGGCCTGGGCCTGGGCCTGGCCTTCTGCCACTTGGACCCCCCAAGGCCTCTGAGCCTGAAGGTTTGGTGCTGCGGCAGGTCCCCGCCCCCCTGTCCCCCGTGGCCCTGCAGGGGCCCGAAGCAGGCCGAGCACGACTCCTTCTCACCCAGGGGCGCCTAGAAGGGCCCCCGGCCAGTCCCCAGGATGGGGCCACAGGCTGGGGCGGCCGGGATGCCTCCTCCTGGCAGCCCCCCGCTGACCTGTCTGCACTCTCCCTGGAGGAGGTCTCGCGAAGTCTGCGTTTCATCGGGCTCTCGGAGGACGTGGTGAGCTTCTTTGCCCGAGAGCGCATTGATGGCAGCATCTTCGTGCAGCTCAGTGAGGACATCTTGGCAGATGACTTTCACCTCACCAAGCTGCAGGTCAAGAAGATCATGCAGTTCATCAAAGGCTGGCGGCCCAAGATCTGACTTCCCAGCTTGGGGCTGCACAACTGGAATTGTGGCCCGGAGGCCCTGGGGGGCCAGCCCGGGGTCTGCAGGGTGACGGCACTCCCAGAGGTGGGGCCTACCTGCAGGAAGAATCCTATGCCAAGACTGAGGCTGCTAAGCAGCCACGGAGAGTGAATCCAGGGGAGACACACTTGCAAACGGGGTCGTCTGGGCCAGAGCCCTGCATGCATCTTGCCTTTCAGTGTGCAGAGTACACGGGGAAGGGGCTGGAGGCACCGGTGCACACCCGGGCCTGGTGACACATTGCTGTGATTCCCACGGGCGTTCAAAAGCGGGCCTTCATGGTGACCTAACAGCCCCCTCCGTCTTACTGCAGAGCTCCACTGACAGCTCGCACTTCTTATCTTGTAGGTGCAGGCTGGAGACAAGGCAAGAAGATGGTCCATGATCTAAGCACAAATTCCCCAAGTGCCCTCTCTCCTCTGTGCTCTGTGGGCTTTTGGCCTAGCTGCCCCAGAGTCGCGGTGCCTATTTCTGTATGTCGGGGATGCCCTCCTTTCCCCTCTGCTCTGCTGTGTGTTGGGCCCCTGGCCCTGAACACAGGTGTATCAAGTACAAGCCTGTGCCACCACACCTGAGAGGCTCCACCTGTGGGTTCTGGTTCTTGGGTGATGGCTTTGGACGAGCACAGCTCTGCTCTTGACCTGCTTATCTAGTTAGGGAGGCAGATGCTCCCCCAAGTCGCCAGCGCACTGGCTTCTGCCGCGAGCTGACTGCAACTAGCCCTCCATCCTGCCTGTCGGGTCCAGTCCATGAAGACTCTGTGCAAGAGCAGGTGGATTGAGGGCAGCTGCTCCCTGATTCTTGAGGCAAGTGGCCTTCCATCACTCCCATCGGTCTCCTGCCCCATCACTTGACCCTGGCAAACACATGTGTCCCTTCCTGGTTTTCTGTCACTGGCACAGGTGGGATGGGGAGGAAAGAGAAAGCACGATGGCTTGGGAAAACCTGCTTTTTTCCTCCTGGAGCTCAGTCCTCTCGCACTTGTTCACCTGCTTCAAAGCAGGTCTTTGTGCCCTGTATCTTGAGCACGGTGATCTGCCAGCACCCAGAGCAGGTTGGCTGTCGTGTCCGGCCCGCCCCGTGCTCATCCCCACCTCACCTACCAGAAGCACACTAATCCTCCTAGTGTCAGGCCCAGGGGTTATCAGCCTTCTCGTCTGCCTTACCGAGATATTTATCTCCTCTGTTTTTCTGTCTTAAGAGGAGCAAAGCTGGGCTGTTGCTCGTGCCTCAAGCAGGCTGCCTCAGCGCTGAGGGCAGGGGAGTCAGGAAGTAGAGCCAGAAACTGGGATGCCGAGACGTTGGGTTTCCTTGCCGATCACTCAGTGAATCCTCAAGGGCTAGTGAAATAAATGCTAGACCACTGAAGAGTAGTGCAGGTGGAATTCTGGGCGTCAACTGCGTTCTTTCAGAGGGCCGTGGGGACAGACTGGCACAACGTATACGCCCGTGGGCAGGAGAGGCCTTCGGAAATGCTGTGTGTACACGGCCCACTTGCTCCTCAGAGGCAGCTGGTGGAGTGGCCTTCATTCCCTTCTGAAAACCCCTCACCAGCCCCTCAACTACAAGAACCCTCAATTCCCACGGATGTTTCAACATAATTCACACCTACCTAGTGCTGCTAAGTGGAAAGGTCATACTTCAAAGCTCCAAGCCACTACCCAGGTTTAACTTCCTGCCCTGTCCAAATACCTGCCTAGAGGCTGCTCGCACCACCACCCCCCGCCCCCCGCCGCCGCCTAGAGGCTGCTCGCACCCCCCCCGCCCCAGAAGCCTGTGAATGGCCTTGGTGTAGAGGACCAGTTCTCTACCTTCTGTGGGTCACCTGAAAACTCCCAGCTCGGAGATGCCTTGGGTTTAGAGTCTGGCTTCCTAGCAACCAACTGTGAGTGTTGTGTATAGAGGCTGCTCGCACCCCCCCCGCCCCAGAAGCCTGTGAATGGCCTTGGTGTAGAGGACCAGTTCTCTACCTTCTGTGGGTCACCTGAAAACTCCCAGCTCGGAGATGCCTTGGGTTTAGAGTCTGGCTTCCTAGCAACCAACTGTGAGTGTTGTGTAGAACTGGAGCTGAGCTTCCCGCCGGCCAGTCTCCATAGCAGAGCTATCCAGGGGGATATCTGAAGTGCTCACAGCTGGAGCAGAGGCAGGAGGAATTGGTGACACCTCAAAGATGATACTGCGCAGTGTGATGGGACTTGAATTATGATTCTGCACGCACACGGCACGGATCCTTCTGCCAGACCCAGTGAGGAGCCCAAAGCTGTTTACCTGGACTGGGCAATGCTTCTGCCAGAACACAAGTGTAGGAACTTTCCACACTGAGGGCAGGGGGAGGGGAAGAGTGGAGGCTCTAGCACAGGGGAGGTGGCGGTGGGTCACATGGGATGCCTGTCATCACTGTGCAGGCATCGTCCACCTTCTGTGCTCTGGGGCAGCCAAGACGTGCAGGATACACTGGCCAGGAAAACGTCACCTCCTCTGCTTAATGCCAACGTTCTGCAAACATCCTGAGGTGCGCACATGAATGAGTCACACCGAGAAAAGAACTGGGTAAAACTGTGCAACGGAAAGGAGTCTCGTATATGCTGGCCCTCCACACCTCTCCCACTGTTCTGCTTAGCCAGGGCCTCTTCCCCACTGTAAGCAGAAGCCCAGCCAAAGCATTCAAATACAGTTGGTTTAAAAGGCTTTAGGCTCATAAAATCCCACTTTCCATCAACACAGTTTCTCTCTTAAGGTGCTGCCCCAGTACACTCCTACCCTGAAGCACAGGGCTTATTCCAGCTCACCCCTTGAAGGAAAGGGGGTTAAACCACAAGGGCAAAGACAAGAGAAAGCAGTAGGCAGGCAGAGAAGCTGATAAAGTGTTTGATTTTTATCGTTAAGTATTTGGCTGGGTGCAGAACTGCCCTCACCACCGTCGGCCACCACTGGTCTCCCGGGAGGAACAGGCAGCAAGGATGGCTCCAGAGACGCTGCTACTCGGGGCCTCAGGGCTTACAAATTCGTGAGCACAGAGGTTCCACCTTCCGACATGAAGTACAAACTGCTTCACAGCCAGACTTCCCTGGGCGGGAGAGATGCTCACAGCTGAAGGCACGTTAATCAAGGCGCTCACCCAAGGCCAGAATTTGTTCTCCCGGTTACTCTGATAAACCTAGATGCCACTCTGTTGAGAACCAGCACTGCCGTGGTTGGCGTTAGTGGGTGAGTGAGCAGGGTTCAGGGCCTGCTCACTGGTAGAACTTCTTGTTAGGGCTGCTGGCGTGGTCCATAAGCAGCTGGCACGGGGTGAACTGTTTTCCATAGGCAGCCTCGTACTTCCGGAGCCGGTCCACTATCTTCTGAGCACCATACAGATCCACAAAGCGGAAGGGCCCTAAGAGGAGAAACAGGATGTTGTTGAAGGAGAAGTGAAACGAGCTCCGGGATGAAGCGAGCTACCTTCCTGACTTGCAAGACCGACCTCCAAGACTGGGGGGGAAGCCAAGCCCGAAGACGGCGCCGATGTCTCCCTCTGTAGGCGTGGCCAAGACCCCTTCCTGCAGGCACAGGACAGCCTCGTTCACAAATCTGGTCACCAGGCGGTACTGGATGTCTTCGTCCGAGGAGCTGCCAACAGGGAGAGACATTCAGGGAGGGGCAGGGTAAGAGGGGAGGACGCAGGCGCCCTGGTGCAGAACGGGAGTGAGGGCTGGTGCTGCTGGAGCTCCAGGCAAGCCCTAGTGAACCTCCAATGCTAGAGGAGGTGCTGCCCTTGGAAAAAGACAGCAGAGGGCTACTTGCCCTAATTAACCCGAAGCTGGGCACTGAGAACAGGGTCCGGCGGGGTAGACGGCATCTCTTCACGTCAGCAGCTGCTGATTACAAATGATAATAAACAGTGTGTAGGGTGAGCAGGCCTAGGAGAACCGTCTTTCTAGTTGCTCTCTGGGACCCTCAGAGGGAAGGCTTCCCAAGGGGTCTTCCCAAAGCTGGGCTGCAGTCCTTACCCTGAGGCCTGGTAGAGGACGAGGTGGACTGTGGAAGGGCAAAAAGTGTTAAGCATCAGGAATGTTCTCTCTGGTCACGTATGGTGATCGTAACAAAAATGATGGCAGAGGGTCCAAGAAGCTTCGGGCTGGTGAGAAACACGCTTCTGCACCAACAGCCCCTCAAATGAACTTACACGTCAGGCTGAGGAGGCGTCTTCAGACTTGCCAAAATACTGTCTATGTCAGAATTCAAATTCTTATTCTTCACACCCTCCTGGTAGATGTAAAAGCCCTTCCCGGACTTGCGACCTAAAAGAAGTGAGAAAAGGAAGAGTTAACAAATTCTCAGAGCCCGGGCCTGAGAGTTCTCTTCTCCGCTAGTCTGTTACAAAGCTCTAGCCTCGTTTCCGTATTCCTGAATTTGTAGATCTAGCCTACTCTAGAAATTGGTGTTTGTCAGAAGAGTTGACAGCGAAGGAAAAAAGAGCTTGTGTGTCCTGGAGCTTGGAAATCTGTGTATCTGGGTAGGAAAGGCCAGGTGGGTGAGTTTTAAGGTCCAGGTATGCAACGCCAGGCCCTAGGATGCCCAGGTCCTAGTGTTGATTTTGTTGCTACTTTGCCGAGAGAGAAAGCCACCTCTCTGGTGGCCTCAATTACATCCTCCACTTAGAGGTTTACTTCCTCCACAAAGGTGGTCAGACAACATGGAAAGCCTGGACGCGACGCTCCCGCAGTATCACGCGTGTAGTAGAGGCCTTGGGCAGGATGAAATGCCTGTCAATCTTGCATAGCTTGGGCAACGGCAGAGCCTCGGAAGGCCAGAGTTCTGCCTTTTGTCCATAATCTACAGGCCCAGCCTAAAAAGAGGTGGCCATGAAATCACTTTTAAGTTCCCTATGACAGTGACTCTATGTTTAGAAAACACATTCTTCCACGCGGGCCTTCTGCGGCTCTTTGGTCTCAGGAACTCTGTCATGAATG